AAACAGTAACTCTGCTGGGGGAGCCATTCCCCCCCCCCCCCGGCCTGTGAACGGAGACCGCCTCAGCGGGGAGCCGTCCCCGTCCCCCGCCCCGCCAGGGCCTGTGAGCAGAGACCTCCCCAGCAGGGAACCGTCCTGCCCCCCGCCAGGGCCTGTGAGCAGCTGGAACCATTCCCCCATTCCCCCCCTGCCCCACCTGTGAACGGAGACCGCCTCAGCGGGGAGCCGTCCCCGTCCCCTCCCACCTCCGCCAGGGCCTGTGAGCAGAGACCTCCCCAGCAGGGAACCGTCCTGCCCCCCGCCAGGGCCTGTGAGCAGCTGGAGCCGTTCCCCGCCCGGGCCTGTGAATGGAGACTGCCTCAGCGGGGAGCCACCCCTCCCTCCCGCTCACCCCCTGTGCCCTGTGAGCAGAGACCTCCCCAGCAGGGAGCCGTCCCTCCCCAGGGCTTGTGAGCAACTCCCACCGGCTCCTTGCCACCCTACCTAGGTCCCTACCTACCTTTGGTCCATCAGTGCGTTGTTTGCTGACCCGTGAGGGGCATGGCCGAGACCTTCATGGGCCACACACAGCAGCTCCTCCCCGCTCTTCCAGTATCCTCTGCTCAGGGCCCCCCCGCTGATGGCCAAGGAGGCGTCCTGCTGCTCCCTCGGATGGAGTCTCCCTGCCTCTGGGGACCTGGCTCTGCCCCCAGGAGCTGAGTGCACATGGCAGCCCTGACCCATAGGCTTCAGCGCCTCCTCCAACCTTCTGCCCATCCTCCATCACCAACAGCTCCCCATTCGGTTCAGAATTCCCACGTCCCTCGCAGCAAACCCTCCCCTCTCCGGCCCAGGCCTGGCTTCCAGACACTTGTCTAGAGGTCACATCACATTACCACAACAGCCTGGGGGCCGACCCAGCTGGTGATAGGCTATGTGGAGGGGTGGGTAGAGCACGGGGCAGGCAGTCAGGACTCCTGGGCTCTATTTCCAGATTTCCCACGGGCTTATTCAGTGACCTTTGTCACTTTGCTTTGGGGCCTCAGTTTCCCCATCTGAGAAGAGATCATTGAATTCCGTGGCTGATATGTTATCAGTGTCCATGGTGTGTCTTGCCAGGTAGGAGAGCTGGGCTGGCCGGAGGGGGAGAGTACTGCAGAGCACTTGATCTCTGGAGGAAGGCAGTGACACTCATGGTCTCTGAAAGAAGTTCTATCCAGGTGTCCCGCCCAAAAGCCTGGTGCAGATAAGGTGGGGTCTCGGGCTCTGATAAGGAGTGTGGGGTGCAGAATTAGCAGCCAGACAAAATGGGGCAGAGAATAAGGTCTCTTTGTACCCCATTCCCATGGCCCACCAGTTCCAGACAGGAAGACAGTGTCCTGGGGTAACTGGAGAGCATGGTGCTCACATTTTGGGTGTGCAGTCCAGGCCAGTGAGAGGTTGTCACAGCTTTTCCTGTAACCCTGAGAACCTTAAAATGCCCGGCTGCTGGAGCTCCCTGTCTGGACACTCCCAGCCAGTGGAGAAGCATGCCCTGAGTGTCCTGGTTCAGCAGCTGTGACTCCAGCAGCCTGCTTGTTACCCGCCAGCCAGACTCTGGTCTTCACCAGCCTTGGTTACCACCAGCCAGAAGACCCAAACACACCCCCAGTCCTGCATTTCCCCCAAACCGTCTGCCCGGCAATGTTCAGCCCTGTCCTGGAACATTCAGGCTAGGTCTACACTACCCGCCTGAATCGGCGGGTAGAAATCGACCTCTCGGGGATCGATTTATCGCGTCCTGTCGGGACGCGACAATCGATCCCCGAATCGACGCTCTTACTCCACCAGCGGAGGTGGTAGTAAGCGCCGTCGACAGAAAGCCGCAGAAGTCGATTTTGCCGCCGTCCTCACAGCGGGGTAAGTCGGCTGCGATACGTCGAATTCAGCTACGCTATTCACGTAGCTGAATTTGCGTATCTTGAATCGACTCCCCCCCCCGTAGTGTAGATGTAGCCTCAGAGGAGTAATAAAGACCCATTGCGCCTTTAAAGAGACATAAGCACACAGCTTGTTGCTTTGACTGGAGCTAATAAACATGTCATAGCAAACACTAGGGTGATTTAGACTAGAAGTAAAACTGGTGTATTTCATCAAAAAGAGAGAGGTCTGACGTGAATTCAGGGATCAGGGATAAAGACAGAAACGGTTACCAACAAATAAAAGTGAAAAACGTTTTCCAGTGACTAAGACTTAACAAAACCACAGACTTGGTTCCAGATAAGAGTCTTACCACATGTCCCTCCAGCAAGACGGCTGACCAGCCCTGGGTCAGGATCTCCCACAAAGTCCAAACTGCTCAGTTCCTTTGTCATCTTAGGTGAGAGATCACTTGGGGTTCTTTATCCCGTCTTGTATAGTCCAATGGACCTTGGAAATGTCTCCTCAAAAGCCGGGGGGTCCCCGCTGTAAGGAAAGGTGCCAGGAAGCCTGATGGAGAAGGTTCCATGCAGGTTTCTTCCCCGCTGGTGTTTTCTACAATGGAAACTGATCTGTCCCTGCAGCAGCTGATAGGCCAATGACTGGCCACTCAACTGTGATTGCCAATTGTCTGATTGCAGCTGGAGGGAGGCACTGGCCTTTCCTTTGTCCGGAAACACCTGTTTCCCTACTCTCCAGCCCTGTCTTGGTCCCATATTTCCTTCCCATTTGCTCAATCCTTGGTGTTTACCGTACATGCACCATGCGGGAATATTAATGATCAGGGTGTTATTGGTTGTCCAGGGATACCTCACACGACACCCATTTGACACAGAGTTGGGATTGGGATGCACTGAACAGGTCAGACCAGAGGAAACTCCCTGCCTGATCAGTGACCCCCCTGCCTTGTGGCACTGGGGTTCCCTTAGGATCACAATGGGCTCTGCAGGAATCAATAGTGGCTGGCCTGTGACCACCTGGCTGCTACAGGGACCAGCAGCTCCATCCCACAGTGGCCAGGAGCAAGCACTTGACAGCTGCTACGTAAGCCCATCAGGTCAGCTCAGTGCAGCTGGCTGGGGGAAGGAATGTGTCAGGCCATGCATGGGAGAGACTCTGGTTAAAGGCCCCTCTTCCTTGCCCCAATTCGCAGAGCTCGACTTTCCAAGGCACAGACTAGCAGTAAGACGACTGTCACAGAACATGCGTTTGCTAGCGATCAGGACTGCTCGGTCCTATCTGTCATACAGGGCCCACGGCACCTCACAATCACAAAGGGATTTTAGCCATGCACCCAGGTCCGGTACAAGGAAGTTTCGCGCCCTAGGCGAAACTTCCACCTTGCGCCCCCCCAGCCCTGCGGCAGCTCCCCACCCCCCCTCTGCCCTGAGGTGCCCCCCCCGTGGCAGCTCCCCCTCCCCCCCCCCGGGGAGCCGTGCGGCAGCTCCCCACCCCAGCTCACCTCTGCTCTGCCTCCTCCCTGAGCACGCCGCCCCTGCTCTAATTCTCCTCCCCTCCCAGGCTTGCGGCGCCAAACAGCTGATTGGCGCTGCAAGCCTGGGAGGCGGGAAAAGTGGAGCGGTGACCGCGTGCTCAGAGAGGGGGCATAGGAATGCTGTAAAACAAATTGGGGGCACCGCTTTTTGGCACCCCCAAATCTTAGCACCCTAGGCAACCGCCTAGTTTGCCTTAATGGTAGAACCGGCCCTGAGTCCAGAACTTTAACAAAGGAATCAAATTGGTTGATATGTTTCTTAGCGAGAGTGTATTGTGTTGAAAATCTTAACTTCAGGTGAAGTTTCCCCAAGTTTAAAAGAACAATGTGAATTTCCTGTCCATTAACTGTCATGAGCAAAGAAATATGAAAGTTCCCAGTATCTCTGCCATCTCACCTTAAACCTGGTTTTCAGATTCCCTCTTCTGGTCTCTGATCTCTCTTGAACAGGAACTTTCAGTCATGCTAAAACAGGGGTTCTCAAACTGGGGATTGGGATCCCTCAGGGGGCCATGAGGTTATTACATGGGGGGTCATGAGCGGTCAACCTCCACCCCAAACCCCACTTGCCTCCAGCATTTATAATGGTGTTAAATATTAAAAAAAATATTTTTAATTTATAAGGGGGGATTGCACTCAGAGGCTTGCTATGTGAAAGGGGTCACCAGTACAAAAAGTTTGAGACCCACTGTGCTAAACTGTATGATGGTTTTGTGATTTATATCAAAGAGGTTGGGGTTGAAATGCAAAATTCAACTTCACTTGAATTTTTGTCTGTGAAAGGTGAAACCTAGTGTATCAATCTACACTGAATGGCCAAGTCTCCATGTTACAGTGACCTGGTTTAAGTTATAAATAATAATAAAATAATATTAGATATATACAATTATAATAATAGACATCTTATGATTTCCTACTAAGAAATAATAGTTCAAACCTCCTTAGCACCTTTCAACCAGAGTTCTCAGAGCACTTTACAAACACTAAGGAATGAAGCCTCACAAAATTGCTGTGATAATGGTAAATATTCCCATGAAACTTCTCCATCGAAAAAATTCTACATTCCAAATGTTTTGACCAGTTGTAACTTTAACCACAACACAAGCACACCGCATTGTCATTCCTTTGTATTAGCATCCATTATAAAATGATTTGGTAATGGGACTATTTGAAAGAGTAACATTACTTGTATGCGTTTGCAGGACTGGGCCCTAAAGAGAAGCTGTATGTCAAAATAAACATAAATCAAGAGATTATGGGCCACATCTTCAGCTCAGCTCCATGCTATGCCATCTTACACCATTTGAGGATGTGGCCTAAATTAATCAATTTATGTTTAAATCAGCATTAAGTAAGTGTATTTCAGATATTGTATTTTCTGTTGCAAAATTATGGCCAAATCCTGAAGTCATGACTTTAGTCAAATCCTTAAGTGTACTAAGCACCAAGCCGGCCAGGGGATTTGTCTGAGTCAGAAACAAGTAAGGATTTCAGGATGTAGCCCATTGTAATTTTGCACTTGGCAACAAATAACTTGTAAGAGTATCAACATGTTGTACTATGAATCATTGTAACAAATTGCTTGTGTTTTACAGCAAAGTGATACATACTGTAGTTCTTATGCTAAATTAATACAGCTATATGTCTTAGGAATACAACATTAGCATTAAACCCACATGCTGAGTTCCCGCTTCTACTGTGAAGGCTGAAGATTTTAAATGATTATAACTCTTTACAGTATATTATCTCAATTTTTAGACAAATTTATTAAATTGTAGATTGATTCAAAAGCTGACTCTGAAATGTTTCCAGCCACACAGCTGACAGCTACTGAGTCTGATATCTTTCCTTTCTTGCTTTTTAACAGCATGTGAAGTTAACAAAAAGTTCCTATAAGAACACTCTGTGCTTTCATGAAATACAAAGGAATTGTTTAAATTGCCTCTGATAAAAAGTGGTACTTGTCAAATATCCTACTAAAGGTGGATTTGCTTTGCTATTTGTATTATCCTGTATATACAGCAATAGTATGTACATTTTCAAATTGAACGGTAGTAGCTATATTAATTTTGATTAATAAAGTGTTGGGCTTTCTTTATATTTTCATGTGCTTGCTTATAGTGCAGGCTGGCTACCACAAGCAGCTGAAGCGTCATCAGGGGAGCAAGAAGATGATGCAATAGTAGAGCAAATCTCAGAGCAAACAAAGACTTTCATCCTCTCTTGGTGACACGTTCCTCATGCCTGAATGCAAGAAGGGAGGGATGGAAGAAGGCGCAAAGAAAGCAAAAGTGGGAGAACTTACATGGGTGATTGACATTCTGAGATCCCACAGTTGAGGAGAGAGGACTTGGGCGATGACCATCACTAGCTGAAGCAGGTTGGCTACAAAAGAGAGCATTAGTCAGGCGTCAAAATTTATCTATCTGCCTACATACTTCTAGTGCACCCTTAGGCTCAAAGTGCCAATGCAACAGGTTGAGTACAGGAACCCCTCTCTCACATGTGTTTCTGAGAGCCAGAAACTTACCCATTCCCCCTGCCAGTCAGGACTTAGCTTTAAAACTGTTTGTAAAACTAAGTAAGAATGGGAAGAGAAGAAATCAGGGACAGAAATTGGAGGAATGAATAGGAAGCAGATGGGGAGTTCAAGTGAAGAGAAGAATCCCAGCGGAGACCTGCATTTCCAGTTAGGATGACAACACATTAAATTACGCTCCTGAAAATCTCTTCTTTTTTCCCCACTTTTCTCAAAAGTGGCAAAAAATAAAATTCAGCAGATCAGTGTAATATATATTAAAAATTATTTAAACACATTTCTATAGCAAAGATACAGTGAGTTTCTCTTTGATTTTCCCTCACTGAACATCATTTGATGTGGATCATTGACTGCAGTGGCAGTTTGCACACTGCCATGCATTTGAAAGAATGGGAGACTTGCATTATACTTCCCTTATTAGAGGTTTACTCAATGCCACTTCACCATGAACTATATCCTGCAATCCTTATTCAGGGAAATCTCCCTTTGTGGCAGATGTAGGAATTGGGTCCCACTGTACCATCATTCCATTGTACTTTCAGTCTTTCCTATACGAATATTCAATACCTTTGGCTACGTCCTATTAAACAAAAACCATTTGTGCAGGGCTGAGTCATGGATTCATGCATCATCTAATACACGTGTCTGAGAAGGAAAACTGGCATGTTCTGCACATTCATGATATGTGTGGGCAGAGTTTAGCTGAGTGTTCAGATTGATGTAAAACCAAAGATTGTTGTGGTGGAACAGTACCTCTTTTCCACTGCTCTTCTTGTCTCTTGATAAGAGTTAGACTTTATAGGATCCTTCAGTAAAAATACCCTATCATAGGTGAGGAAGTACTAACCCTTGGACAACAGTTTAAGTCTTCAGTTGTACAGTACCACCAGTTCCCACCCCCATCCCCCATTTAATTGCTTACTGCACATCCTATTCATTACATAGTGCCCATTAAATCCAGATGTAGTGCCCAGAAAGGAGCTGGCCTCTGTCAGCTCAGAGCAGCTAGATAACACATTAGCAGATAACAGATACTAAGAGATTCAGGACTGACCACACATTAACTATACCTTATATTATAGGAGAGCATTTTAAAAAAGAGTTAATGAGTTAAAAAACAAAGAAACTGATAAATATTTCTGATAAAACTAAGAAACACCAAAGCCCACTCACAGATTTGCCAGTAGAAGTTAGCACAGCAAAACAGACAGAAAACTGGACAGCATACTCCCAAATCTGTGCAGATTGAAATGAACATATTTAAATTTCATTGTCGATTGAAGAGTGACAAATACAAATTAGAAGATGGGAGTAGGAAACTCAGACTCTGAGCACAGATCAGCCAATGGTATTAACTAAAATCTGAACTGTTTGCTCTAGGGTTGTGGGCGGGACTGTCTACATGGCCATTTTCATTACACCTTGTTAGCCAACACATGTATGTTAGACATAGGGCATATCAGATTAATACCATATTATACCGAGCATGTGGGCAGTTATGTTAACCAATTTGTATTATGTCTTTCACACGTTTTCCACTTTGCTCACTTATGTCAAGAGATATATATCCCACCATACTCTGCAAAGCTAAATGTAGCTTTTGCCATTAGCAAATATAAAGGCTGTCAAAGGCAAGATAGGTTTCAGAGTAGCAGCCGTGTTAGTCTGTATCCGCAAAAAGAACAGGAGTACTTGTGGCACCTTAGAGACTAACAAATTTATTAGAGCATAAGCTTTCGTGGGCTACAGCCCACTTCTTCGGATGCCTCATTCTATGTCCTTGTACCAGTAACTTCATGGGCAACTGGTTTAAAATGTTGTATCCAAAAGAGAGAAAAGGGAAGGTACAGAACCACAAGTTAAGGAACTCGACAAACTGGTGAGTTGGATCTCAGGTGACACAAAGTGCATTCTAACTTTGAAGCAACAATATAAGTGAGTTTGGGGGTATATTTTGAAGACCACCTACTGTGTAAGGTGAAAATGCTGTGAGATAAACATTTCTTCCCAAAAGGAAGGGTATGTATGTCTGTTTCATACTGTACTACTTTGTCTTAGACAATAAACTTTGGCTAAGCTTGTTTACTTGGTCTTCTGAACATTTTTAATAATGAACTATAAATGTAGTCAATCAATCAATCAGCTATACTATTAATCAGCAGCCTGGAACTGACTGAATTAACAGATGTCCCAGCTGCTGCATTTTAACAGCCCTTTTCAATTGCTTATCCCATGGAGGATTTTGCAGGGCTCCAGCATCCAGTTATCCCAGAGATGAATTAGGCCTCTTGTCTCAGAAATACAAACCATCAGTATTTAAAACTAGGATGTAGAGTGCATTATGGAACAGTGAGTTTGGAGTGTCCAACAGAGATGTCATGAGATCATGAAGGGTATGGCTACAATATAATTAAAACCCCACAGCTGGTCCACGCCAGCTGACTTGGGCTAATGGGCTCAGGCTAAGGGGCTGTTTAATTGCGGTTTAGACATTCAGGCTCAGGCTGCAGCCCAGACGCTAGGACCCTGTGAGGTGGGAGCATCCCAGAGCTTGGGCTGCAGCCTAAGCCCAAACATCTACACCACAATTAAAACAGCTTGAGTCAGCTGGCATGTGTCAGCTGCAGGTGTCTAATTGCATTGTAGTCATACCCAAAGCGAGCCATTCCCAGAGACCAGGCAGTGTCACAGGGCACAAAAGTAGAGTCATGTTTTATAAATCCTGCCCTCTCCCCACCCCCCATGGGAAAAAAGCCTGTAAGGGCATATTTCTAAACTAATGCTTAAAATGCCTAACGCTAGATCCACCAGCTAATTAACTTATCATTGTTCCTTCATTGCCTTCTGAGATGCTATGGTAATGAGCAGTCTGAAAACCTGGAGTGCAACAGAGACTAGATGAGCTCCAAGAAACTTCTAAAACTCTGCCTAGTTCACTGCAGCATGCAGGCTCTGTGAATGTTCTATATTGACTTGTACTGTTACTGTCCCTTTGGGACAATATTGGTTATCTGTTTGGCACTGACCCACCAATGTATGCAAGTTTAACCATCATCAGTAAAGTTAATGGGCATTTTACCTGTGTATTGATTAAAGAAGGAGTTCAGAATCTGACCCAAAATAATTAACAATACAATTACAACTTCCTACTATTGTGTCCATTTCTTTTGCCATTCTTTGGAATGCTCCATTATCCCATATTCTCTGAAATCCTCGACAGATATCACCATGGACACCATTAATCATGCTGAAAGCACAGCTGATAAGCTACAGGCCTTACTGATGAGGAAAGCTAGCAAGCTCACATGACATTGGCAGATCTTTCCGCACTCTCTGTCCAATAGCTATTTTACCTCCTCTCTGCCTCGATCTAATCCAGAAATGAATGTCACCTGAACAGAAATAAAGTTCTCTCCTAGCTAGAAGCACAAAGACCCAAACAGACTAATTATAGAATGTGTGTTACATGTATACAAACTACCACAACCACATTGTTACCCTGTGGCCCTGCTGATAGGCTTTGTACACCCATATGACTCTCTGAAACCAGTTCTGGGACTGTAAAATCTTAGCATCTGAAGGCCAAATTTTCAGCTTCTCCTTACCCAAGCCTCTTTTTCTGGTAATCATTTTGTTCCTACTTTTATTTTTTGAATCCAAAAAACAGTTGGAAAATTTGGTCATTAGCATGCATCAAATCCAAAGCTCAAGTGGCTAACTTGGAATACACAGTATTATTCCATACTATCATCGGGGGATCTGAGTTAAAAGCCAAGGTTGCTTGCTTCCCAGGCTACAGAGTTGTCAATTTTGAAACTTCTGTAAAGTAAAGTACAGCAGGTCAGCAAGTACACCTCTACCCCGATATAACGTGACCCAATATCATACGAATTCGGATATAATGCAGTAAAGCAGTGCTCCGGGGGGGCGGGGCTGTGCACTCCGGTGGATCAAAGCAAGTTCACTATAACGCGGTTTCACCTATAACATGGTAAGATTTGTTGGCTCCCAAGGACAGCGTTATATTGAGGTAGAGGTGTATTTCCATATTTAGATGTATATTCCCTTCTGCTCCACAGATCAGTATATGTTTCTGCAATAAGCACTTCACTAAGTATATGGACATGCATGTATTTCCTGTACATTTCATTATATTGGGATGGTAGCTGGATATTGGGTTTTGACATTAAGACATACAGCTGCTGAGCTATGAATCTAAGCAGTACATACATATTTTCATTAGCTAAATACTTAATAAAAGAGTCCTACAGCTTTTACATTAAAATCTATCAGGTCATCCAAGGGAAAGATGACTCATTGCAAGAGTCACCAATTGCCATACACTTTGGAGTGTAAAAGCAGCATTAACCCAAAGCAAAATAGGTCAAATGCTGTGCTAGTATAAAGGGTATCTTAAGAAATGGGGCAGGTACATTTTAGAGGAGCACTGGCATGAGGAAACTTAAGGCAGTGAGGCATTGTGTGGCAAAGTAAATGGGTCATAAATTATTTTACTTGTAGAGAGCGGTGGACATAGGGAGAATAAACTCAAAAATGGACCTGACAGTAAAAGAGGCCATGGTATAATCATGGAAAGAGCACCTAAAAAAAGAAGTATAAATTAAGGTTAGCACTTTGCCCCACCATAGGGCCTTGTCTGTACGCAAAAGTTGCACTGATACCCCTTTTCTGTGGGTGGGAACTACCGTGAGCCCATACACACATTTTCTCCCATTACTGGTCCCCTGGCCTTCCATTTATAGATGCCACTCTGGTTCAAAACCAAGGCAACTCATAAACATTCACAAGGCCATGCTGCTCACACAGGCTTAGTGGATGCAACTGATATCCAACGCCAATGGGCAATTTTCCACTGTATGCTGAAACTCTAGTCAGTGTTTGTAAACTTTGTAGAGGTTTATACTGCTCATTTTAGAAAGGTCCAACCTCAAAAGATCCATGATAAACCACAGGAGCAGCTGTGTTCAGTCCTGCTAAAAGCTAGAGGATCTGTGATTTCTAAGATATACACTGCAACAGTGCTTCAGTATGAGAGATATATAGATAATGATTTTCATCAGTGGAGAGTTAAGACTGAGTCAAATTCAGGATTCAGATTTATGCATCCTACATTGCCATCTACAGACCATTCATGGTATTTCATGCCAGAGGTTTGTAACCTCGTGATAAGCAGGGATCCTAGTTTACCGTGATTAATCAGAGAATTTAAAAAAAACAAAAAACAAAAAAACATGTTTTTCCGCTATTAAAATGAAACACTGAACTTCAGTTTCCCTGGCTACCATATATATATAAGGATCAGTTGAATACAATGTTTTAGTGATATATTTAAAGTTTTGAAGCAAGATGAAAGCCTACCATCAATATGAAATTTATCCTTGCCAAACTCAGTGACACGGTCTTTCGGGATGATTTTTAAAGTTTTCAGCATCTTTTCATAACTTTAATTACTCAACAATGGAGGCTGAAGTGAAATTTTAGATGCATTTACACACAAACCCCTATATACTAGAAGCAGTTTATTGGAGTATGTCTAGCTATGTAAATTTAAAGCGCATTCAGAAATCAACCCAAGAGGGGTAGTTGCGCTCATTGAATAAGTGACACTGGTACTTTCCGTAAAATTTAGTTACTTGTTAGTATATGTTTTCATTTTTTCACAAAACGTAAAAACTAAAAGATGCTCTGTAAAAACACAGAGCTCCCTGGAGTGGCAGGCTTGGGGATTTCTGAGCAAGGAAACTGTCTGATGCTGTTTGTTTCTATTGTAGTCAGAGAACAAGGACTTTATATACACTTTTATAATAAAACAAGATTACACTGAGGATATATCTGACTCTTATCATTTCTCATCCAAATGGAAACATCCCTGCCAGGTCCTGAATTCTGGTGAACTGCTTTGACCAAAGGGGCAACACCTGTTTAGCTGCTTCCCACCACTCTTGAACAACAACAACAAAAAATCTGTTTCTCTGTAAATTGATAAATGATTTAATCACATGGTAATACTTTAGCTTCTAACTTTGTCAGATAAATTGTATGTTTCTTGAGAAACTGCTACCTCCTCTTGCAATATATATGGTTTATATATGTTTAGGAGTGCCCTCCAGAAGAGGTTCCCCACACACACAAAAATTTGCACACACAAAAACTCACTCAGTCCCCTGGGCACCTGCAATTTGGATATTCTAGACCACACTTGTTTTAGGGACCATCTTACACTTCTTCATTGCCAAGATATTTTTATAATTGCATAGTAATGTGAATGTATACATCTAAGTAGTTAGGCCCAGATCCTAAAAACACTTATTACACATGTGCTTAAGTTTAACCATGTGAGTAGTTCCATGGGACAAAAATTAATCACGTGCACAAGTGTTTGTAGCATCAGGATCTCACTGCTGTAAATGAACTGAAAAACTGAAAAATTCCACCAGACAAACAAAACTATATCCTGTGCATTGAATGCTTATTGTTTTGGGAAGTGTGTTTGGAAATGAAGTCACCATAAACTGAAATATAGACATTACAGGTTCTAAACTGAGCTAACTGAAAAAGACCACAAATGCAGCCTATATGGCTAGACACCGCAAAAATCCATTGCAAAACTGATTACTAATATCACCGAGGCCAGGGTAGAGCATTAAAATAAGTGAAGAAGGAAGCAAAAATGGTACTATCATAAGTATAGGATCTCTGAAGTCAATTTGAATGGTTAGTGGTACACATATATTGGCAGAGAAATGTCACACAGATACAGAACAGTCTGAGCCAGAACCAAAGAAAACTAAAACACTGTAAGAGGACAAATGAAAACAGGACTTTTCATCCTGATAAGCCCAGCTTTGTATAAAGCAGACTTAGGTCAAGCACTTTGTTCATTCTGAAGGTGCACCTGTGAAGTGGCAGATTTCAAAGGTGGGGGAGGGTCCTGCTGATGCCTTCTGAGCTGAGAGCCTTTCAGCAACAGGATTCCATAAATCTCAAAGTGCAGCAGGGGAAAAATGCATGGGCGTTGCGGAAGGAATTCACAAATTTGTAACACAGCTTTTTGTGTATG